AAAGGAATGCTATGAGCCATGTGAGAAAATCTGATTCATTATCTACATTGATATTTATATTTAGCTTAGTAAAAGTGATCACCATATTGAGGTCTTTTATAATATTTCTCTCAGGTAAATTGAATTTAAAATTTTCAGTTAAAAGCAGTATGCATTATATCTTAATAAATGTCTAGTCTTAATTAATATCAGAATGATTACTCAGAAAACAAGATGATTTTAAAACTCCAGTTCACAGTTGGAAATAGACATTGGATGGAAATCATATCACTGTTAATCATGCTTAAAGGGAAATGCTTGCATATTTAAATTACTACGCTCTCTTCATAGCATGGGCATATCTTTTAATATTTTTAAATCAAATATTCTACTATATCATAATATATGCTTTAAATTCTGGCCAGCCTTTAGAAATTGCAGATAAGTCATTTGTGTGCTTGTGGTCATTTGGATCAAATCTTTGCTGGCTTATTTTCTTGCTGACTTATTTACTGCCACCAAATGCTTTTAGAAATGAATCCCTACATATAAGAAGGACTGGAAAACTGCTTCTGTGTAGTAGGGACCTCCATTTAAAATAGTACTAATCAGGACCCCACTAACCTCATCTGTGGGAAAATGGTGAAGCAGGGGGAAGTGAAACCATGAATAGTGAGATGAGGCCACAGGTGCCTGAGTCTAGGGTACCCACAGAATTCCAGAGCCCCCTACAGATGTCACTGCATGGCTTAGAAGAGAGCAGGGAATTCAGAAACAGCTGGTTATACAACTGCTTCTTCAGAAAGACCGATCAGAAGCACATCAGGGGCTCACATCTGTGCTTTTCTTAAAGGTGACCTATGGTGGCCTGAGCAAAGTTGGAGAATTATAGAACTGGAAGAGACTAGGAATCATGCAAATTTGGTCATCATTTTTAACACAAGAGATTCATGTCCAGAGAATTTATCTCACTCCACCTAAGTTTCCTGGCTCTTTATTTGTTTACTAGTATCTGATGTGGTGGAACCAGTTGTGTGGGCTTTTGGTGACCTTGGGTTTAAATCCTAATCATCACTTATGATAAATCTGGGGCATATACTTGAGTCATATAAACTTTGTGAGTCTCAGTTTCCTCTTTAGTGAAAAAGCAACAATCATATATACTTCACCAGTTTTTGGAATGTTCAGTAAGTTAATGTGTAGAGGGGAGAAAAGCCCTGCATTTTGACTAGCACCTAATAGACCTTCATGAAAGAGTAGGTCACTGTTCTCTTTTACCCAAGCATCTCAAGCTCCTACCTCAGGGAAGACTCCAAACAGACCCTTCTGAGAGCTGAACTTTGGCCAATAACCATGAGCTAAGTAGTACATTGGTACTAGCCCTGCAGCTCTAGCAAAAAGCAAATCCAACTGAAAAGACTACTATTATTTCTAACCATCCCAAGGTTGCCTTCTGAAGGCACCAGATGAAACCAGTGTCCTGAGGACAATCCTCATTTCACTCCTGCTTTGGCAGCCTTATCCAGGATACCTAACAGCAACCCAAGACCCAGTAACATAACACAGAGGACATCTGGCTGATATGGAATACGAAGACACAGCCCCAGCCTTCACTCCACTCTTCCCACCTCCCATTTTGTCCTGATTTCTTCCACTTCTTCTTTTCCTACTCGACCCTCCCCTCACCTCCCCTTTCTGCCCCCATATAGATCAAATTTTGGAGATGGATATCTGTTCTCATTTGCTATTGACATCATTATACCTCATTTGCATCTAATTCTAATTGAGTTACCCAGAGCTTCATATCCTTTATGATCCCTATCTATTCTGGAACTATCTGTTTTTCTCACAGCATTCTATATCCTCCTTTCCCTACTTACATGGCCAAAAAGAAATACGTGTCTGTACTTTATGAATAGATGGACACTAGATGAAAAAAGAAACGGAACTCTTGTATACATCTTTCCAGGGCTACAGTGGTATACTTCATAGGCAGAAATACAGTTAACAGAGGAAATATAACGCACAAATATGTCAATGCTCCATTCTAGTTTTTAAAAATGAGGGTCGTGGGTATTTGGAGCAAGGTGTTTCTGGTAAGAGGTGCTACATGGGAGAGATGAAAAATTATGCCTGTTTTTCTGGAAGGTAAGAAAAAAGTGTCAGCTAGAAGTAAAGATAGATGAGAGCCATGAACTTCAACCTTGAGTATTTGTATCGATGTGAAAAAGGGACTGAGCATTATTTCTTAAATGACTTTCATTGTATATCCTGATGACAAAATAAACATGCTTTGATGATGGAAACTTTAGGAAATGCTAATAAGCAAACAGAAAAAAAAATCAAGAAAAAGAAAACAGAAAATCAAAAAAGAAACCATCTGTTACCCATAATCCTACCTCCCAGATATAGCACTGATAATGCTTTCTAAATTTGTTTATATTTCCTAATGTATTTGCTTATTATAAACACTTGTTCATGTAACAAGATAGACTTGTATAAAATCATCCCTATGGCTTGCAGTCTCCTATCATATGAAAGTTTCATAATATAAATTTATAAACAAATCTGCAGTACACATTGCCCTTTCTGTATGTATCTTCGCTAACATGCCCCCCTGCATGGCTCAGCAAGGACTTAGACTGTCCATGTCTACTGAATTTTTCTTTTTTTTTTTTTTTTGAGATGGAATCTTGCTTTGTTGCCAGGCTGGAGTGCAGTGGCACGATCTCAGCTCACTGCAATCTCCACCTCCTGGATTCAAGCGATTCTCCTGCCTCAGCCTCCTGAGTAGCTGGGACTACAAGTGTGCACCACCACAGCCAGCTGATTTTTTGTATTTTTAGCAGAGACAGGGTTTCACCATGTTGGCCAGGCTGTCTCAAACTCCTGACATCGTGATCTACCCGCCTCAGCCTCTCAAAGTGCTAGGATTATAGGTGTGAGCCACTGTGCCTGGACTGTCCACTGAATTTTTACAGAGTGTTTACTGATTACCCACCACCACTGGTTGTTTTTCTTTGAGACTACTATTCTTATTTCTATGTGCATTCTTTAATACTAATTTTGGTAACAGATTCAATGCAACAAATAGGAAGAAATTATATGCAATAGTCATGGAAGCAGCTCCAACCAACACTATTCAATGAAATTCATTTGAGGAAAGATATTGAGTCTAATATAACCTGCATAGGTTAATTTAATATGTCATGATAATATTGTTATAGGGACTCAACTAATTTTTGTTTTTTGTGGGAAGAGTAAGTTATACTTAATAAACATAATAAATTAGTGGCTATATTTCAGTTTGCCTGCTGGAGTTTCTGAAGATATTATTACTGTACCAACTGATCACATTAGCTGTGTTTCCTGAGCAGGTGCCCTGTAACGTATAATTGTACATGCATGAATTCATTTCTCACAATAGTACCTTGAAAAGTTACACAGTAATCCTATTTTGCAGAAGAATAAAGTAAGGCACACAGAGGGCAGTAATTAGACTGAGGCTAAACAAAAGCTGGGAAAGCTGGGATAGGAACAGGCCATCTGCTTGGAGCCCACACTCACTCTTAACCACTATAGTTGGAGTGCCTAGATGTAAGTGTTCTTTATATCAATTCCAATTATGTAACTTCAATACCAGAAAAGAGTATTTACATTTCAGGATATTGTGAGCATTCCCATGAGGAAATGAACAAGTAAAATACTAAATCCACTGTATGGAGCTGCAGACTCCTCTTCTAGAAATATGCTTGCTCATATTTTAAGGAAAGAAATTACTTACAGCTAATTTAGAGTTTAAGCTTGGAGAAGATATATTTTGGATTTTATTATAGGGTAAAATCCCCAAAAAGGCAGTTAGTTACATTCTAATTATTCAAAGCTAAATAGGATATACAAAAACCTCATTGGAAAGTCCAGTCAAACTTTGAGAAGCAGTTTTTTTGTTTTTTTTTTTTTTGTTTTTTTTTTTTGAGACGGTGTCTTGTTCTGTCGCCCAGGCTGGAGTACAGTGGTGGGATCTCCGCTCACTGCAAGCTCTGCCGCCTCCCGGGTTAACACCATTCTCCTGCCTCAGCCTCCCGAGTAGCTGGGACTACAGATGCCCGCCACCTCGCCCGGCTACTTTTTTTGTATTTTCAGTAGAGACAGGATTTCACCGTGTTCGCCAGGATGGTCTCGATCTCCTGACCTCATGATCCGCCCGCCTCGGCCTCCCAAAGTGCTGGGATTACAGGTGTAAGCCACCGCGCCCGGCCGAGAAGCAGTTTAAGGAGCCATATGTTTGAATTTGAAGTTTATAATGGATGCATTCTTTTTTAAGAATGATGAAATTTGGAGGCTGAGGTGGGAGGATTGCTTGAGCTCAGGAGTTCAAGGCTGCAGTAAGCTGTGATTGCACCATTACACTCCAGCCTGAGTGACAGAGTGAAAAGAAAAGAAAAAAAGCATGATGAAATTGCCATCTGTTGGGAAAGCAGTAGAGGATATTGGTTGATAGTATCAGCTCTAGAGTCAGATTTCCTGGATATTATAGCACTAGACTTGCCATCTTGAGCAAAATTCTTAACCTTACTAAGTTTTGGCTTTCTATTCTGTAATAGGAAATCAGAACAGTCCCACTCCATTGGATTGTTTTGAAGATAAAATGAGAAATACATATAAAGCACATAGCAGGATGCATGGCATACATAATGTTAAAGAAATATTAGCCAATATGATGGTGATTAATAATCATTGCTGGCCTTTTACACCCTCTCTAAACATATGCAAGCCCAGTAAATTTCTACTAGCCAGAGTACATCCCTTCCTCTTGCAGGTGTCTATCTAAAATTCATGCTGAAACTGAGGTCCAATTAGAGATAGCTCCTTTCCCAGTTTAATTCATCTTCAGCCTTAGAAATCCTTCACCATAATCCATGGTGTTTCTCCATTTAATAGTAAAGCTAAAATTTATGCAAAATTTCTGAAAACACATTCTGACCTCTGCTTTATACTTATGAATGGCTTTTATTCTTCAGGTCAGCTTCTGGAAGCTGCTGAGCATTATGAAGCATTCCATCAATTGACGCAGGGGCGGATATGGAAGGATGAGACAGGCCGCTCTCTCAACTTGTTGGCCTGTGAGAGTCTCCTGAGGACTTACAGATTACTCTCAGACAAAATGCTGCAAAATAAAGAATACAAACAGGCCATCAAAATTCTAATAAAAGCTTCTGAAATAGCCAAAGAAGGTGGGTGGAAAAGAACACTCTCACATTGTTTTCTTTAATGGGTAGACACTGGTTCTCCCAAGAGTGAAGTAAAAATCGTCAAGTGTTAGGGTGATTATTTCCTATGAAATGCAAAGACAAATGCCATCAATTTACTTTCAAATTTCACTGTAAAACGGAGGTGCCTTAGTGCTGACAACAAGAAATCCATTAGTTTCTTGAAAGCTTTATCTCCAAAATTACAATCCACTGGGGGTAGTGCTGTAAAACAAAGAACCTAAAGTGAGAAGGTAAGATCATCTGCAAAAGTTAAGCGTGGGGATGTGCAATGTGCATGTGTGTATGTGGTTGTATATTCCTTGGAGTCTTAGAGACCTTTCATTGTTTGCACATTCCCCATTGTCAGGTAACAAGGAAAATATGCTATATATTTAGTTATCAGTAACAGGAAAATAGGACTGTAATATATTTTAGATCAAATGTGGCCTTTAGACCAGCAGCTTCAGCATGTTATAACAGCCAGGGTCTCGGGTCCCACCCTAGACCTACTGCAGCAGGATCCCCAGGTTAGCAAGATATCCAGGTGATGTATATGTACCCTTAAAGCAGTGAAAATGCTTCTATGAGAGCTGCTCATGTCTTTCATAGTCTGTATCATTTCTGTACATGTAAAATACAAAGAAAAAATTTGGAGCATATTCTTATAAGCTTTTAATTTCTGAAATGCAAGGATATTTTGTTACCATATAGTAATTTATTAATAAAGTAGCCTTTTCGTGAAGGAGAAAAAGATAAAAGTTATGCTCCTGAACTAAAGTGTATTAGCTCATGGATATATTTAACTGATTGGTTTATTAAATAATAGATGGCTTATTTAGAGTGAGCAGGACTGATTTCCTGGGTGTGATTTTAATTTACTAAAGAGTAAAAATAAACAGCTTAGTCTCTCTGTAACGTCTTTCAATAATATTAGTCAACATACTCACAGGAAATCACCCCCTGAAAGATGCATCTCATTAAATGAACTACTTTTGTATAAATGGTCTAGTATCTTCCCCCAAAAGGGTAAACACATAGTTAGCTCTTAGATCAATTTCAGCAGCAAACTTTAGTCACATGGAAAGTTACATGGAATTTCAATGAAAAGGAATGCATTGATTAGGAAAAGATACATTACTTTAGGTTTACTTTGCTAAGTTTTAAGGTAGTTCACAAAGAAAGAACAGTTCCTTGGGTCTCTGCCAACAGTCAGAGCCTGTCAAGCAGTCTTCTTTCAAAAAGCATCTCTCGCTTACCAAAGATCAGATCAGGAGAACAAGAGAAGACTTACTTCTTACGCTGTTATAGTTTTTAATGTCTTTTAAAACTAATAAATATTTGTCCCCACATTTTTCTTCAAAGAAAGTACATAGGTTAAAGGATTGCACAATACTTTTCAGAGCTCTTAAAGAGGGTAAATATTCTGGGACAAAGTATCCCGTTACTCTTGTCTCCTACGTTGATCAGGGAGCCTGAAGGAGCAAGCTGATGATTACCCAAATAAAGCATGCCCCTCACATTGGTTCACATAGTATTTAAGCGGTATTGACACCAACTGTTGGCCAACTCCTTTGTTAGGGTACATTGGTGTAATGCACAAATGTAGCATCAGCCAACACCTTTTACTTAACATAATGTTTTCAAGGTTCATCCGTCATGTAGGGCCAAATCACATTCCATTGCATGGTTATACCACATTTTCTTTATTCACTTATCAGTTGATGGACATATGAGTTGTTTCCACCTTTTGCCTATTATGAATAATGCTAGAATGAACATTTGTGTACAACTTTTCAAAGATCTTGATTGTATGCTTAGGAGTGGCATCACTGGGTTATATGACAACTGTGTTCAACTTATTGAGGAGCTGCCAATTTTCCAAAGTGGCTTCACCATTTGACATTTCCAGTAGTGATACATAAGGGTTTCAGTTTAGCCACTTCCTCACCAGCAGTTGTTACTTTTATCTTCTTCATTATACTCATCCTAGTAGGTGTAATGTGGTATCTCACTGTGGATTTGATTTGCATTTCCTTGTTGGCCAGTAACATTGAGGGTTTTTTGTCATGTGCTTCTTGGCCATTTGGATATCTTCTCTGCAGACATTTTTATTCAGATTCTTTGCCTAGTTAAAATTTTTTTTTTATGATTGAGTTTTAAGAATTCCGTGTATAAACCCCGCTTTTTTTTTCCACTTTGCCTTGGCTAAATCTTCCTCCATCCTTATTTTGAGCATGTATGTCTCGCGTGTGACGATTGCGCCGTCTCCTGAATACAGCAGACTGCATGGTTCTTGGACTCTTTATCCAGTTTGCCACAGTCTGTGTTTTTAATTGGAGTGGTTTCAGTCCATTTACATTTAGGTTAATAT